TCCCTTCAAAATGACTTTATAACGAAGTTTTTTCGGAAAGATTCGATGCAGTTTTTCCGATCAATGGTATGATAACGAACAGAAGCTTTTTCATAATTCAAGAATATTTAAAAACCACAGTAAAATCGTATGAATATTCAATATCAGAACACCGTTCTAAATGGCGAAACAAAATTCACTAGGTGTATATAAATACCAAGCGACTACTCAAAGACCAAATAGATATACAATCAATAAATATCTTCAAAAGCCTAAATAGCTCGAAAAAAGTTTATATAGTAATAGAGACATTCAGAAGCTGCACAGTGATAACAGCAGCTATTCGATAATTAAATAACTATAGAAGAATTAAATAGATACATTTAAAGAATAAATAGCTGAAGAAAAGTTTATATAGTCATTGAGAAATTAAATAGCTATCGACTAAGGAGAAAGATTAATTATAAGATTAAATAGCTCTAGATAAAACATAAGGGAAGAATATTTAAGAAAAAGTATCTCTTTTGAGAATGAGTCGAGTCAAACATGAGTTAATTTATTATATAAAATTATACATAACACCAATAACAAAAAAAAAACGATAATATTTGTACAAAAAATAAAGTTTGATTACAAGGTTGTCAATAACTAAACATGATTGTTCTTAGATTTATTTATTAATTAAAACCATATTATGAGTCCACAACCATCATCTTCAATTGAATAATACATTTGTTTATCAAGAGACAATAAAAAAATATAATCACATAATTGTTTAACAAATTTTCTATGTTCAATAAATGAAGAATTGATATAATCACCATTTGATGAGTGGAATTTGCGCCGAAAGCAAAAGCCAAAATCACTAAATAATGGTGCTATCTTTGCGATCATTTGACAACTTGTATCATCAATAGCTTCTGGCAAGTCATACATAAAAACTCGAAACGAGCTCAATTCTAACAAATTTGAAAGTGAATTCGAAACTATTGACCAGTTTGGTAGCATATAATTAGGATAATCATGAAAAAGCAGAATACGAATAGAACGAATAGTTGTTGGAAATGAAGAATAATTTTTTAGACAATTGATACTATTCACAAGAGTTATATTTCGAAGAGCAGATAAACTTATATGAATAGGTCTGTTATAAAAGGATAGATGTAATGTTTCAATACAATTCAATAATATCACGTGAGGTAAAGCATAGATAGGTAATGACAAAATTTGACCTGCTGCATCAAGAACATGAAGAGGTGATTGATTGATTGTTAGCATTTTTTGAGAAGATTTTTCAAACACTTGTATATTA